TGCATTTTCTTGGGCCTATGTGCATATTAGATATAGAGTCTATGTGAGTTAGGTCAAAATTGTAGGATCCTAACAAACAAAAATATGTAAATAAATGAAAACGTCTACGAATTTCCAATATCTTTTGGATCATAGCACTTCCATTTACAAGCTGGCCAAATTTCATTTAATTCTGATAACGGATTTTTGCGTAAGAAATATTTTTTTCCAATTTACAACTACTAGATTATCTCCAAACTTAATTGCCATAGATTCGCCCTTTTTCAAACAAGACACAGATACTAGGTCGTTGGACAATTCCCGTTCTGTAAGGATCCACCCGTTTCAACACAGATTTTATAGAAATGTCTGGTGCGGTATTTTCAATGGCATCTGTTCAGGCACGTATCGCCCAACGTTTAAATGCAAACTCATACTAAGTTTTTCAAGAGAATTACGTAGAAAATGTGTTAGATGACGAATTTGGTATTACCCACCGCATGTTCGTCGTGGTAACATAATAATTTTGGACAACGATGGATTGGCAGAAACGGAGCCGTACATTGGCATGCGAAGTCTCCTGATTTGAACACCCTGGATTCCTTTTGACGGGGCGCTTTTAAACAACTAGTGTATGCTGGACTAGTTGATAATGTTGATCAGTTACAAGAAAGAATAGATAATACTTTTCATCAAATTCAAGCCACACCAAATTTTGCGGAAATACGTTTTTCTTTATTACAAAGATTGCACTCTAATGTATGTCCGTCAGAATGAACATTTATGAAATAAGGTTTTGATTATCTGATTTGTTTTTTCTATTTTTGCGAAAACAATGCACTCTAGGAAAAAATAAAAGAGTAATCATTTGTGGAAATTTGAAGCTAAAATTTGTAAAATTGCGCGTTACTAAAAAACGGTGGCGAACTATATTTATTTAGAAAAATAACGCCACTAATCCACTGTATCTCCACCTCTGGTGCACATCAATTTTAAATAAAGACTTTTGAATGTGGACAATACTCGTACATAGGTAAATTCAGATACCAAATCTTAGTTCATTCCAGTTGACGGTTTTGAAGATATTAAAAAATTGTTTTTATTTTTAAGCTTCAGCACCCCGTATATTTTTAATAAAGCCATCTTGGAAAAAATGTTACATAGAAGACCCCACTTACAGTGAGATCCTGTGTATGACGTTTCATTTTTGGTCACGACTTGTGAATTACCCTGTATAAGTGTTTACTGTCGCTAAGTCAAAATCCGAGATTAGTTTGCCTCTAGGAAGGCATTTAAATAGTGTTTTCAGGCCTATTAATGGATATGTTACCGGCAATCTGTATAAGTCGGTATTCTATACAATACCTAGGTAAATAGTAAAAAGTGTTTTTGTCTTTAAAGTAAGATTTTGTGCACTCCAAAATGTCACAATATTTCATCATGTAAAAATAAACTGAGGTGCTTTTTTGTACCCTTTTCATAAAGCTTATTTTTAAAGAGCACTCCAATTGTTAATTTTAATGAAGTTGATTTCAAATTATTTAACCTGTTTCATTTGCCCGTCATCTTATAGGTATGCCGGTTAACATTGATAAATTTAGACCAAGATCTATTTATTTTACACATTGCCGGTGGGACAGCAGGTACTCTATACAATCCCCAGAAATTGTATTCATTACCTAGGTAAAGTATGTAATGGATAATAATATTCATAACATTTCATACAATGCCTGGGCTACCCAGGTATTCTGTACATTGCTTAGGTATTTCATAGAATATCTGACTATACAGTTTGCCGGTAAAAGATACATTCAAAAAAGTGTAACAACCTTATCCGATCCCCTGAAACAATGTAAGGTTACATTTCTCGGTAGTCTGTAAAAGTTAGAAAAAACCGACACTAGAGTTTATATGGCTGTACTGTACAAGGTTCACAAACACGATTTATTCCAATTGAGGCAAAGGGTCGAACCCTATCAAACTTTTTTGAATAATACTAATATAAGGAAGTGGAGTTGAAAATAGTAATGAGGTCAACTCACGTGCACAAGAAAACAACACCAATGAAAGTTCATAATCTCTTTATTATGATCCATATCCAGATGTTCAAATACTTTTAATACACAACACGACGGTTGACCAACAACATCGAGTTTAATAGCCTGCCATGGCAAACGTAGGATGAGTAAAGTTCTGATTACATGTCCAACTTACCGTTTATTCTCTTTAAAATAGGAAATAATTTTGATTTGTTCCCGACGCTTTTATTTTAATTTGTGCCGGGTTCTCGAATAAATAAACCACTGTGTAGTGGGGTGGAAGTCCACAACAACATGTTCTAGAACGCTATATCACAGGATCTTTTTATGTCTCTAACGAAACTCTTCATAGAGACCTCGATGTCTCGCACCTAAAGGACTACATTAAGCAACAACAGAATTAATTCGTGAACTCAGAACAAACAAAATTGTAGCATTTTGACAAAATCTTTAGAAAAAATCGAATATTTTTAGACCATATGAGAATCTGTGAAGTGATTTTACCAATGCCTAAACGCTACCTATCCTAAAAGATTCACTGGACAACAAATTTTAGTTTTTTAATTGTACCTTGTGGGAAAAGTGCACTTCTTTGTTAATTTTGGAGCGCTGAATCCAAAAATGACAATGAAATAAAAAAAATAGTTGCGGTTTAGAAAAAAACTTTTTATTTTTAAGGATATATTAAAAAAAAATAACAAGATTCATATACTTATAAGAATCACTATATGCGCTGTCTTTTTGCTGTTCTTTTATGGATCGTTTCTGTAGTATCTCTACCAAGAGTCCAACAGTAGTCTGCAATCATGGAAGGATTCCACTTTCCCTGGTACCTTTTTTCCATTGTTGAAATATCCTGATGATAAACGTTCGCCGTGCTCATCACTTACGGCAATTGTCAGGAAAAAAGTCCAGGTGTGAGTGTAGGAAATGTATCTTAAGAGACATATTACAGCCCATCTTTTGATACGATGACAGCATATTTTTGACAAGGGTTTTATAGTTGGCAGCTTTTCTATTTCCCAAGAAATTAGTGACCACCAGATGGAAATCATTCCAAGCAGTTTTTTTCAATACCTGTTAAAGTGTTTTCAGACTGTGTATCTTTCAAAATATTTCGAATCTGTGGCCCAACAAAAATACCTTCTTTAACCTTTGCTTCACTTAGTCTTGAAAATTTCTGACGCAGGTATTTAAAAGCTGACCCATCTCTATCTAATGCCTTGACAAAGTTTTTCATTAGGCCCAACTTGATATGCAGTGGTGGTAATAAAATTTTTTTCGAATCTACTAATGGCATATGCTGTACATTTTTTTGACCTGGCTCTAGGAATTGACGAACAGGCCAGTTTTGTCTGGTGTAATGAAGTGCCTTTGCCCGACTGTCCCATTCATACAAAAAACAGCAAAACTTTGTGTAGCCTAGCTGCAGCCCAAGTAAAAGTGCAACAACTTTCAAATCGCCACAAATATGCCATTGGTGCTCATCGTATTTTATGCGTGTCAATAGGTACTTCATATTGTCATATGATTCCTTTATGTGAACTGCATACGCTACAGGAAGAGATGGTAAAATATTTCCAATATGCAATAACACTGCCTTTAAACTCAATGTTGAACTGTCTATAAACAATCTCCATTCTTCTGGGTTATAGTTTATATGTAAAGCCGCCAGTAAGCCGTTAATGTTACTGCAGAAAACCAAGTTATTCTCCATATTGAAAAATGGTTCTGTCTTTGTGGCGTTTACGAAAAACACATACCGAAACATCGTCTTCTAACAAGTTCCAATGCTGCAATCTTGATCCAAGTAACTCTGCCTTACATTTTGGAAGTTCTAAATCTCTTACAAGATCATTTAATTCTGACTGTGTTATTTTGTGCGGTTGGTGGCATGACGTGCTCGGTATAAAATCAGGATCTCTTGACGTTGATGGCATATCTTCTTCCTGACGAATCACTCGATCGCCATGATCTGATTCGTTTTCTGATTCGCAAGTGTAGGATTCTGGGGGTTTCGGAATAGGATTTTCGTCACTGTGAGGCACAGGTCTCATCGCAGATGGTATGTTTGGGTAGTTAATAACCGATTTTTTTTTCTTGGACATACCTGTGGCTTGTCCAACACAAGGTACCATGCAAAAGTAACAATCATTAATATGATTTGTAGGCTCTCTCCAAACCATTGGGATAGCAAAGCGCATAGACCGTTTTTTGCCATTTAACCAGCTCCTCAGACTTGAAGCACATGTATTACAGCAGATGTGGGGTGCCCACTGTTTGTCTTGATCACCTAGTTTAAAACCGAAATAAAGCTGATATGCCTTTGTTATTAGTGGAGTAATAGACCGTCTCTGAGACGCAAAAGTCACATCGCCACACACGTAACAAATTGATCTGGATTGTTTACACACTTTCGAGACATCTTGCATGAACGCTGTCAGCCAACTGAGGAAAAAATGGCTAATATAAAACAATATAATGTACACATATGTATAACGTAACACAATCATGCCGATTACATCATCTTTCCTTGCAGAATATAAAAATGTAGCACGTGCATTCTTGTGAATTACAGTATATTAACACTGTCACAGCAGGAACACATATAATTACCGTATCTCTAAAACTTGAACTAATATTGAAAAAATAAGTTTCATTCCGGTTTTAGCACATTAAAAGTAGTAATATTTTGTTGATTTTATTTAGGATATTTTTTGGCTGTTGATCATATTCTTCTTCTTTGCTCTCGTTCTTCCTTCTCTCCTTTCCTTCCATTTAATCCTTAAAATTGTTTGGTTTCTGGGTCAGCAGAGCTGACAGACTTGCAAACTGACACTGTGACTCAAGAGCTAAGATCCCACGGACCGCTCTGACAACCAACGATGACTTGACAAAGGATCTTTTGTAGTTTGCTGCACTAGAATGACATCTGCAGCTTTTACACACTCCTAAAGTAGAACTCGGTGAGCGACATCATAAATGACAGGCACGTACAGACAGAGGCGCGCCACGGCCAGTCGTCAATCCACAAGTGCATTTGTGGCTTGTCTTCTGTATCTCAAAATGCGGGCGTGCACGCAAGAACATAGCTCATGCATAAAAATCGCACTGCAGCTCCTAATACATCAAACCAATCCTCATGTTCCCAAATCGAGTTCCTTCAGGGATAGCGGTACGTCAATATGCTGGAACATGCATGGCAGTCAATAGCCCAGCAGCCATCCAGACTGGGATTGGTATTTACAAAAAATATTTTTTTATGCAAAACAATAATCTGAATGTTATTGTAATCATTGTCATTTACCTATCTACGAGGGATGTCTTTTAAGTTTTGCATATGGAAATAAAAGAATACGGTAGGCAGTTTTAAATGACTTTATTGTTTTTAAAAGTATTTTCCACGAAGATTAATACACATCTGCATGCTCTCGAACCAATTTTCGAAGCACTTATTAGACTCGTTTGCTGGCAGATCCAGAACGGCATTTTTGAATGCGTCAACTGCTTCTTCTGGTGACTGGAACCTTTGACCACGCAGTCTGTTTTTAATTTTCGGGAATGTACAGAAATCGTTAGGACTTAGATCGGGACTATATGGAGGATGGTCCAATAATTCCACGTTTTCTTCCGTTAAATACTGCCTTGTTTTTTGGGCTGTGTACGAGCTGGCATTGTCTTGACGGAGGATGATTTTTCTTTCGGGGTTGATTTTTTGAAGCTCGGTGATGACTTTTGGCTAACAAGTGTTGATAAACCAATCCGCAGTAATAGTTCTTTGCTCATTAAGAGAAGTTGTTGCAATATGACCCGCTTTTGACGCAAATGTCGCGACCATCTTAAATAAGTATGGAGTTATAAAAGCAAGTAAATTCACTACTCTGTGTTTTTGTCTTAAACTTTGAGCGCAGTAAAGTTTTTGCATTAAGGGAATCATTTTGCACTCATTTCCCCTATTGTCGTTGTATTGATGAAGATCACCTTTGTGATTGAAACGTTTACGATAAAGAAGATTCTGTCAAAAAATGCGATTTCATTTGCCAGATAAGATTCTTGAGAGTATCTTCCATCAGGTATAAGACTTACTTCTATGAGCTACAACAATCAGAATTCTCTGTTGTATTAGAATAGTCACATATCATACTGACATTTGTAACAGAACAATCGAAAAAACTACTTCAGTGATATGATACGAACCTGACACTTCCGTTTGGATGCGGGATGCCCCGTATAATAAATTTCATAACAAATTATGTAAAAAGATACTCAAGCTCACGTACAATATTAACATATTAACTAAAAAATAAATAATATGGGATATCAGGAAACATGTGTTCGCAAAGCATGTTATGTATTTTAATACATAACGAATTCTGGGTATGTCAGAACATATTATTAAAAAATATATTATATAATACAGTATATGTTGTATAAACAGTGGTGATCCTTTGATGCCTTCCATCTCTCTAATTAATATGAACCCTGATGGGCATAATCGTCTGTTGCTCAGAAAAAACTTTTTGGAATTTTAGCCTGAATGGCGTCGTTTGAACAGGAGGTGTTTACGATTCATCTCTTTATATGCGGTCCCCTTTCGGAATGGATATGTCCGCATTGCGTCTCTGTAACGACGACCAACCGCAGATGGTGTTGTTTTGTGCTCGTTAGCACCTCATCAGTCAGTATGGGTCTACCCAGGAGGGGAAACGTCTTATGGGCGAACTGGCAACACCAAGGTCATTCTCTCCAGGCATAAAACACATAAATCTCCAGGCAAAGTCTAGGATACTTTCTCACCAACAGAGTTTGATTTTCGATAGCTTGACTTTCCATGGGAACCTCCATTTTGCTTTCAATCTGGGTTTTGAATCGAGTAACCTACACATAAAATTTTTAATTATTGATTTAATTCCAAATCAAGAAATTATCGTTCATAATCTTCATATAATAATGGTAATAATAACTTTTGTCATATGTTTTCCACTGTAAAACACTTGTGATTGTGCAGGAGTACTTAAGATTGCATACTTCAATAAGCTTGTTTTTCTTTTGTAAATCAGTCATGTCTGGATTTGGAGTTGCCTCTTCGTACATCGCTACTTCAAAGTACTCATGCAAATATTTTTCTTGCAAAAATTCCTATTGTCGGGAAATCTGCTTGTATATACAAAAATAAAGTATTCCATCGTTTTCCAAAAGATGAAAAAAAATGTTGCTGCATGGAAGGCGGCTTGTAAGATATCTCTCACTCGTAAAGTTTCCAATTATTATGTTTTTGAAAATCATTTCAGTGTCCCCCAATACAGTTTTAAGTTCAAATGATAGCCATCCTACTAAACCAGATCCCAGTTCAGTATCTAGAGTTCTATTCAATGACCCTCCTTCTGGAGAGGCTACCAAAAATCCAACCCGTTCTGAACAAAATGAAAATTACGGTGTTATTCTGGAAGATCAAAACATTGAAATCAGTGGAAGTGGTTCTAGAACAGAATGTAATTATTTAGATAAATATTATTTTTTGTTAGAGAAAGGCTCTGGCATATTAACAAAATCTGGTCCATCAAAGAAGCCCTAAGGAATCAATTATGTATAAAGTCCACCAGAATGTTTGCTAAATTTTCATTGTCGCTAGGGTTGACAAATCAAACTATTTCAAATTTGTTGAAGGCTGGCAAATAACAATTAGATCTGTTATGTAACTATGGGGAGATCTTATCTTTGTTTGAGAAATTTAAATCAAGATTCCCTGGAAAATTTATTTGGTCGTGGTATCTTCAATACAAATCCCACCTGTCATCAGTTGTTGCTACCTTGAAAACAGTAGTTATTAATAATTTCAGCACACCTTTTTCTAAAGGTAATTGTGAAATCGATTTTTGTGATACTTTGGTCGATTTCAGTGACCTTTTGGATAAATATGACCAAAGTAACGATACAGTGCTTGATTTAGACCCTGAGATTCTAAGTGACTCTGACATGGAAATAATGGACAATTCTGTTGAATAGAATCCTTCAAATGGTTATGTGGCTCGGTACATTTTGGACAGACTCAAAATTGATAGTAATTGTGAATCCTGTGCAAGGTTATTTTCTTTGGTTGTCACTGAAAATTATATATTTGTGATGTTTAAAGAGCACGATGAGGAAAAGCGACTGAAGTATGCAAGTGAAGAATTAATTAACCTGATTGGTCTTCTGGATTAAAAGCTGTATGCATTTTTAGAGCAGCATGGTACAGAAGACCAACTGGAAGTAAAATTTAAACGGCAGTATTCCTGCATTCTTCAAAATTACAGCTTTTGTCGGCATAATGTGGCAAAAGGTATAATTGAAAAAACTGCTCGGTTGGGAATTTACAAATATGTAAAGAGAAATTCTTTGAAAAGGAGTGGTGAGACTACTAATAGTCATATATCAACAAATAAGAAATTCAAGACAGCTAACGTCAGGTAATGCTTTTTTTATGTAGTCCAGCACTCTTCATTCATTGAATTTTCTATTTACTTTCAGTAACTACTGTGATATTTCCCTAAACAATTTTTTCTTGCTTCATAGTTGTAGCTTCCTTGGAAGGGAGCAGTTGGACGTAGAATAATTATTTATTTTGTTACTCCCTGTAATGTCAAAGCCATCAGGAGCTTTTGGTTTTAAGTATGAGGAATGGTTTGTTTATTTTTATCTTTGATTCCTTCTTTGAAGAAAATGTTGCTCATTTTTACACTATAAAAGGTAATGTTTTCCCAGATTATATATTTATTTCAGTTATTTATTTAACTACTGAGATTTATTTTTTGTTGATTTAGTATGAATGTTTACGTTTCAGTGATAAATATTCCTCATGGTGGATTAACAATAGGTAGTGCTTGCTAAACACTTCCTTTGATTACTAAGGGTCCCTTTTGATTGTTTTTTATGCTACTAATGTATGATTTTTTCTAAACATCACTTATTCACTAATAATATACAGAAAGCTCCGGGTGTCTAAAAGCACCTTTATGAATTGTCAATGTACTGTGATGATAAATTATTACTTATTATTATTCATATATTTAATAAATATTTTGTCAATTACGCATTTATTTTTTATTATCCCAAAATTGGTTATCAGCTAAACTGCTGATTCAAGTATACTAAGTGACATATAAATCCAAACACCCAGTTTAAATGGTTTTATTTTAACAAAAGTTGGTGAATGTATTTATCTTACTGTAAATAACAAGTGAAAAAATGTTCAGCCTTATCAGTTGGACATTCCGGTTTTTATACTGCTTTTTTTTTAATTCACTAACGCTCTAAAAATGAATATTTCAGCCGCAGTAAAGAATCAACGTTGGCGGATTTTGGTTCTTGACATCCTTTACGATCGGTTACGATGCCTAAAGTACGGAGACCTGTACGATTTCGTCAACTTAGTGAGTTTGATAGGGGCCGTATAGTGGGACTTCGGGAAGCTGGACTTTCTTTTCGGGCAATTGCAGTTAGAGTGCAAAGAAGTGTAGACACTGTGGTTAGGTGTTGTCAGGCATGGCTTCGAGAAGGCCGTACGCAAAGAGCAAGGGGCACTGGACGCCGCCGTAGAACAGCAGACCGTGAAGATCGCCGCCTAAGATTATTGGCCTTAAGGGACCGTTTCTCCACTACCAGGTCCATTGCAAATGAATGGTTTGCAGAACACGGAAGACCTATTGGCATGCGAAGTGTTTACCGACGAATGAGAAGTTTTGGCTTGTTTTCATACCGGCCACACTGGGTCCTCCCTTTAACTCGAGAACACCGACGTAATCACCTTGAGTGGTGCAGTCAACGGTCACTCTGGGATCAGGAATGGAACAGTATTGTCTTTAGTGACGAGTCTCGATTTTGTGGCACGATGGTCGTGTCAGGGTTAGAAGGCGACGTGGTGAAAGGAGGTATCCACAGTTTTTTTGTTGAAAGACATGTTCATCACACTGTTGGAGTTATGGTTTGGGTTGCTATAGCTTATGGTTCCAGATCACCTTTAATCTTCATCAGAGGTAACATGAACTCGCAGCGTTATATCCACGAAGTTCTAGAACCCCATCTTTTACCCTATCTTGACACCCTGGCAGATCCAACTTTCCAACAAGATAATGCCCGACCACATGTTGCAAGAGTCACAATAGACTTCTTTCAACATAATGATGTCACATTGTTACCATGGCCACCAAGATCTCCCGACTTATCCCCAATTGAGAACGTGTGGGATATGATGGGTAGGAAGAAGATTGCTCAATTTGCAACGTCCTCCTCAGGCTCTAGAAGCACTTCGAGAGGAGTTGGTGGTTGCCTGGAATGAGATACCACAGGAGGACATTGACCACCTGATCAGAAGCATGTTCAGACGCGTTGGAGAATGGCGTAGCACATCAGGGTGCATCCACACATTATTAAAGGTCAAAGGGCTTTAAAGCAGTGCAATCATTTTGAAATTTTTATCATTTACTTATTATGCTTCATTAAGTACTTATACAAAATTTTATTAAAATAAAACCATTTAAACTGGGTGTTCGGATTTATATGTCACTTAGTATATTTCTTTTACTGAGGATATTTTATGTATCTAAGCTCATAAAATATTTCTTCAATATGGGGAATATCACTTTCAGCAGATTTTAAATTGTAACCAAATCCTCGGCACATTCCTAATCTCCTGGCGCATTCTTTGATAGTTCCTCCAGATCTCCAGGCAAATAGGCGGCGCAACCATCTGACAAAACGTCAATGGTGTTGCCATTATTTAACGTGCAGCTCCCACTTCTTCAGTCTTATGTGTTTTGTGGGTCTACCAGTCCCGGAGACATTGGACGGAAGGCAAACAAATGGGTACGGCCTTCTGAAAAGCTGAAAACGCTGATGAACATATGCATAATTGGATACCTTTGAATATAATATGTTTGCTTCCCAGGCTCTGGAACTATGACGAACTACGTACAGCTAGTACTCATATGCGACTCATCAGAGCGATACAGGTCGGGTAAACCTGCAGATGGAAAGCAAATTAGCATACTGTTAAGTTCAGGACTACTAGACCTATACCGCACTGATATGTTTTCAATGAGCACAAAAATTAAGACTTATGATTTATGAAAAATTTATCTCGGGTGTGTTTCCAACGAACATGAGGATTTCTCTGAAACAGTGGAGCTGTGCTACTTGCAATTTTTACACTCACATGAGGAAATGTACCAGCTGTTTCCATATTATCTACGTGAGAGAACGGAAGAGAAACAGAGAAAAGTACATCACAAAATGATGGTGAAAAATAATTGTGGGTTAAAGATGCCAACATAAAAACAGAAAACCGACTGCTTGTTATTATTATCTTGCTTTTAAAAAAGCCTGCGCAAATATTGGATGAGATATTGAATTAAGAAAAGGGAAAATAACAATATGATGGAAAAAGTATTAGAATAACTATCAGGTAATCAAATAAGTTCGTGGGGTTGCTGTATATCGCACATTGAAATAGATGTTGTTGATCGATAGCGATTGTTTGTTACCTGTTGTCACTTTAGCATGAATCCTTCTTTTCTCACAGACATAAAAAGTTGCTAAAAATTGGCACATACCTAGTTTTAATAATAGAAAATGGCGACGAATAAAACAGTAATTCGAAGTTGTTTACTGTATGAGTACAAACTTGGTGCAAAAGCTGCATCGGCGGCGCAAAAAATATGTACCGCATTCGGAGATGGTGCCGTTAGTGATCGAACAGCAGAGAAGCGGTTCAAAAAATCGTCTTCGGGAGATCTCAGTTTGAGCGATGTACCGCGCTCAGGGATACCAAAAGGCATGAACGAGGATCTTCGATAGTTTGTTCCAAGACAACGTGGCAAGAACTTGCAGAAATGTGAGTCCTGAAACTCATTTACATCTTCATCAGCTAGGAAAGACGTGGAAGATAAGCAAGTGGGTCCCACATGAACTGATCAATTATAAAATCTTACCAGTTGTTCAGCAAACATTTTACGCAACGTTAATGAACCATTTCTTAATCAGTTATTAACCTGAGACAAAAAATGAATCTTGTATTCGAATTTTGAGCGTTCGTATCATTAGTTGTCGCTTACTGATTCGGTACCACACACGCCCAAAGCTTCCTTGCACCCAAACAAGGTTTTGTTGTGTTTTTCGTGGACAGCAACAGGAATTGTCCATTATGAGTTTTTGGAAAGAGGTCAAACCATCACTGCTAACTTGTATTGTGAGCATCTTCAACGAGTACAAGCATGACTCATCCAGAAACAGCCTTCTTTCATCAATCGAATAAAGTAATATTCTTGCAGGATAACGTCAAGCTTCATACCGCAAAAGTGACCCGACAAAAAATTTCTGAACTTGGCTAGGACACGTTACCGCACCCGCCATATCCTCCCGACATTTCGCCCACTGATTATCACCTTTTTTTGTCTCTTGACAACTGTATGAGGCACCGAGAGTTCACAACCCGAGATGGTGTAATATATGCAGTCCACCAATTTTTTTACTCCAAATCCAGGGAGTTCTACAATACCGGCATACAAAAATTGGTTCCACGTTGGCAAAAGCTCATTG